AATCATCTATAATTATCACTGATGTGAGCTAGATAATGTATGTATATAATGTAAGGTCACTACTCAAACATATTTAGTACAAAATAATTGTAAATTTTAATGAAACTTTTTCTCGGTTTTGGCTGGCTCTTCATGTATAATGTATCACAAAAAAAACTGAACGTAAGAAATCCGAGCTGCTCCGAAAAGAATATAGCTAAACTCTCATGGCTGCCATGGCCGTTATAGGAGAGAAATTTTTGGTTCCTCATCCAAGTATCAATAGAATAGAAAAAAAAAATCATCTTGCACTATTCAGGACAATTTATAAGCAGGGACACGTGACACTCATTTGTTTGCAGGAAATTGAGGCAATCATAGTGGGTGAAAATATGGAAAATTAAAGAGAGCAGAATATGTTTTGAGTAACATACAATTTATTCAATATTTTTCCTAATGTGTCTCATGTCTCAGAATAATAAACATATGCGCCAATAGAAAAAAGTAGAAATGGACATTTTTTGTGAAAAGAGTAATTGATATTTTTTTAGGTTTTCTGCTATTATAAAAATTTGAGATAAAAATTGATTACGTATTACTCTTACGTAAGGTAAAAGTAACAATAAACTCACTTATTATTAAAATGTTTACCTGGTTTGAGTGAATCAAGAATTGTATAAAAACAAAGTAAAGAATACAGAATTAAAAGAGATTATGAGACATGCTTATTTTTGCTGACAAATGATATACAATATTAATACGCCGTGGTACTCCAGTAATTCACTAAGACCATTAATAATTCAGAAAATTTAAATTCCTTCATTTTTATGCCAATGATTTCTTTTTTGACACTGTCGATACATTCCATATGTCAATGTAAGGGCGCTTAGTTAAGATTAATTAAAAATCAGCAACATTTAATAAAAAGTCAAAATTAAATCATTTAATAAAATGTGCTAATTAGGATGACCTTTATTTATCTACTTATATTATTCTTTTCCTGGGAAATAGATAAGGAACTAATAACCTCAAGTACCTGAGTCAAGGTAGTTTTAAGAATTATCTTACATTTATTGGTCCAGTGATATTCCCTAAATAAAATTAATTAAACCTTATTTAATATCTAATTTGAATTAAAGTATACTCTGTGTTATAGATGCCATTCTTAATAGCAGTTTGGTAATTGTATAATATTTTTTGTAAAGGAAATATTTCAGTTTTTAAATATAAAATATAATAGGCTTTTAGTTGTTGAAGTTGTGCTATTTTCAAGCTAATGATGGTACCGTCGAAAATATCGAAGGATTGCCTGAAAAGTGTTTCATACCGTTACAGGGCAATCTATACCGTCGTTTTCGTCACACTCTTCAACCGATAATAGGACCGAATAGCCAATAGGTTCCTCTAATATCCCGAACATTTAATAACTGATTCCAGATTCTTTTTATTGATTTTTTTTTTCAATTAACTTGTTATGCATCATTATTTAAAAGACGGCGTATTAACCAGGTGTATTTAGTAGAAGAATGGTAGAACCATTCTAAAGTTCCATGGCGATATGTCGTCCTACCCTAACGTAAACAGGAAAAAAAAATCAACTAATTAAAATATGTTTTTTACCTTCCTTTTCTGTTCTATAAAAATGTGACAAACATTCTTCGATTTTTTTTTAATTTATTGCTCTACAGGTACCATTGGACGATAGTTAAATTTACTTTTTTCCATTTAAGGTTTATCATAATTTTCTTCGGATGTTATTAACGTTAACGTAATGTTTTCCGATACCAGTTACTATTATTAATATTATTTAAGTACTTTTAATATTATTCTTATAATCACTAATGTTTTCTTTTTTTTTTTTTAGGTACTGATGCTGAATGAATTACATTTGCAAATTGTTATAGTCAGATCATCTTTACGTTTGTGCAAGTATTTTATTATCAGAACTCAAAATTTACCTTAACAAATTTATTATAATTTAAAACTCACTCTTCTTATTTAGATTTTAAACGTGATTTTTTTTTAATTTTTGGTAAATGCTAAATTATGGAACATAAACCTGAATATGAATTAGATTAAAAACCATTCATTAATAATGCTAATTTAAATGGATATGTCTACTACAGTCAGACTAGCACGAACTAAATTTGTTCCTCGATATCTAAAACATAGAAAGCAGTTTTTTTTTTTTTACCTCCCGCACGAGTACAAAGCTTCCCTACTATCGGTAATGGGAAGTAAATTGAATGAGAATGTGATTTCATTTTTAAAGACAGGATTCTAAAACACTTGTGTATTATGTATTGATGTATTTCAGTACGTAAGATAGGAAAGTAATGCATAAGGACATGTGTGATACATTTCAGACTGAAGAGAATGAAGAACAAATATGTTCACCTGTCTTCGACGGGAAACCGTTATTAAGATGTGCCGTTTGCGCATCTCTAATGTATGTGTCGTAAGAAGTGTGTGTGCGCCATATTCCGCTAGTGTAATATATGTAACAGTATTTCGTTTTTGTTCCCATGTTCAACTAGGCCTGTATTGTCACATAGGTCGTAAAAAAAAAAATGTTCTACGTGTTGCTTTCTGTTCTTCGAAAAATAATGCAAACTGTAAGGAATGTAATTTCATATTTGCATTATTGGATCTAGAATCTAGGATCCACTCCTTTGAAGTGATCCTTCATTGGTTAAATGGTTCGTCATATGGTACCAATAACTGAATTCACAAAAGTAGGAAAACATAGTGGAGGAAGCAGAATTTCAGTCATTTTAAAAATTGTATTGATTAAATTTATCATTGCTTTTACGAATTTACCGTTGATTGATATAAAGACATGGAACACATGTTGAGAAACTACCCATTGGTAGTACTCTAATAATATGTCTATATTAGAAGATCACGTGGCCATCTTCTTTTCAGACGCCTCGGAGGGTTATCAGGAATCGAATAGGAAGCTAGGTTAGAGACAAGAGGGTTGGGATGGTTATGAAGTTTATTATGGAAGGACAGATATCTGGATTGGGCCAAATCTGTTACATAAGGAACATTAAGGTCATTATGGATAATTTTATTTGTAACAAAGTAAGGAGCATTAAGGATTTTACGAAGGATTTTGGATTGTAAGGATTGTATGCGAGAGGAATTTGAAGGTTTGGTGGAGCCCCATAGCTCAACTCCGTAAGTCCAAATAGGCCTTATTATAGTCATGTGAATGAGTCTTTTATAATTGATTGGAAGGTTAGAGCGTTTGTCTAGTAAGTGTTGAAGTAGTCGGAAACGTCGAGCTGTTTCTTGTCGTTTCAGTCTGGTATGAGGATGACTTTAAAATTAAAACGGCATAACTAAAAAAAATATTAAATTAAGTTTAGGAATATATTTAAGTTTGAATGTACAATAGGATATCATATAAAAAATACTACTATTATTCATGACTTTTTTTTTTATAGTGTCTACTATTTTTAAATAAAAAAATGTGTCGGTATCCATTGAGTTCATTAAAAAGAATTTTTAAAACTCTTTAGTGCAGACTCTGAATCTGTACAAATGTTAGTTTCCTTTTTACAGTTATAGATTATGAACAGTATGTTTTATTTCTCACTTATCGGCGTGGTATGAAATACAGTATGGGGCTAATGAGAGCATTTGTACTTTTTCAGAAACAATGGCCGTCACATTTTCCAAAAGTTATAAATAATTAAATTGGCAAAAATAAGAAAATTAAAATGAGTTTTACATAAAATAAAACATTATTAACACAGCGAGACTTATCTAAAATATTTAAACCTGCCGGAAGAAAGAAGAGCCAAGTTTATACCCTTCCTGGTTGTAAAATAAAGTAGAATACGTGAGATAACACTTTTTGTTCAATAGCGGCAGTGGTATTGAAAGAAAATAGAAGTTGAGGTAGGTCACTAATACAGCCGAAGAAGCTGAGGACATTGGAGAAGAATGAAATAAAAATATATATATTTTTTTATTCTTATATTATATTATACGAAAAATATGCATATTTTTCATGCTTGAGGTCAATACCTCTTCAATCTGCATGGATGGTCATGTTCTCATATCGCTGGAAAGGGATCGTCCTGAGATAAGGATAATGAAATTTTGGATCAAATAAGTTCTAAAATAAAAAGAATATGAGATATTGTTCATTACATAGTATGGAAAACCTCATGTTAAAAATTTCACCTTTAATTGCCCTGTTCGAGAGTTCTTTTATCGGTGGGACGTGTCTGGTGCACATTCCACATCCACTGATTACAATCCAATAAATGAGAAGCACAGAGTGGAAACGTAGGCTGTAATAGGGGCAGAGAGAAAGCGCCATTGTTATAGGGGTCTTATTTAGCCGGGGAAAATGGCCACTTTCACTACCCGCACTTCGTTTACAATAATCTCATATTGATTGTCTGCCAAAGGGTCAAGCTCTAGTGGCAGGGCTTCATGGCTTCCTGTGACGTCAGTATGCCTGAGTGCTTGGACTACGATATATCTCAAGGTAGATAACATAGTAGATAAGTATGTTTGATAAGAGTATACAACTCTTGTATTTAATTTTTCATGCAACAGACCTAAATTCCTTAATAAAAAGTTAAGAGAACTGTCTAATGTAGTTACTTTAAGAGTAGAAACCAATCGTTTTTCTGAATGAAATGGTTAATCAGAGGAAGTCTGGACACACCTGTGAGAAAGAAATCAGAGATTTCGTTACTGAATTGGAGGGAAGAACTGACTGGAGATCGTGGAACTTGGTCTAGGCTAGTGGTCGGCAAACTTATTAACCAAAGAGCCAACATTACAACTATTTAAAAATAATTGGGAACCAAATCTGCTTGCTTATTAAATTTTTATTACACTAAATAAGTAGTACACTAAATGAAACTAAATTTCATACTTAATACTTATTTCATACTTAATTTATTAATGCGAACAATGTACTGCATCCCCTTGGAAAGTTGGAGTAAGTCAGATTTGTATGTTGTTGTTTTTAATTTTAGGCATGATTCCAAGTTCTAATCAATAAGACGACTTCTCAGTTTACTCTTTATAATGCTCATGCTTGACAAAGATTGTTCGCACATATATGTAGAACCGAAAAGGGAAAGAACAGCAAACGTGAGCTTTTTCAGCTGATCATAAGAGTCAGGGATACTATTCCAAGTCTTGAAAATGATCATGTTTTCCTTCTCCAGGTCATTCAATGCAGACCACTTGTGTTGTGAACCAAGATCCCGTTTTTTCTTCTCCAATATTTCCAATTCAACACAAAGACGTTCGAATTTAGAGCGCCATATCTCCTTGTTTTTTAAATCCAGCAATTGTATTTCAAAGCTACCAATGTCAATTTCAAAAGGAGAAAATTTCAACTCGGTTATCGTAGCATTAAGAGGATTTTTGACAAATGCTAAAGTTGCTCTGCTGTTTTTAAATTCCTGAAACCTGCTGATAAATGGTTTATTAATAATAATTGATTAATAAGACAGAGCAACGGCAGCCACTGTAGATAAGACAAAACTGTTCACACTGCAACTGCTGGTCTGTGATACCAATTTGTACCCCACTACTTTAGAAAAAGTATGCACGCGCATGCTTGTGGTACCTTTGCATCACACCGGAGTACGCACAAAACATACGCACAATTTCAGCCGGTTGCTTGTACATGGTTTGTGTTTACGTTTACAAAAACTAATGAAATTAAACTAAAGGTTCGTTAGTTATTTTAAACAAAACTAAAACTGTAAGATTTTAAACTGTATTCTTCATTCCTTTAATTCGATTTTTTGAAATTTTTAGGCATTATGAGCGTTGATACTTAAACTTACTTCTTTCACTTAGGTATTTGTGTTTCCTTAACAAGATTGCACTTCAAAACGGTTTCTCCTATAGATTTTATTCCCGATCGGCAAATCATAAAGCTATAAAGATACGCAATAGAAATAGTGAAGAAACTGTACTATCCACACTTGGAAATGTCATCAGATCATCTGAACTGACAATAATTAGACAATTGATCCTTCTGCATGTTTTGTTGTGAAACTCATAAGAGGCAGTCAAAGCTGATAATATTTTACAATAGGTAAACTAACTACGGTTATCCGATCACATTCGTGTCCTTCGACAAAAGTTATACAATTATCATCTCCGATTACTTGTAAATATATTCTAAACCTTTTTTTTTTGCGTTGAGTATTTCGTAATGAGTAATCAAGAGGTCCTGCCATCTGATTCGATACGCCTTGTAACAACGCTTTTGCTATTTTGTGATACCGTTTTATAACTATACCAATATTATTCTCAGAGAACTAAAGCTGCATAACTTTACAATGATATCTATATTCTTGTTGAAAATTGGAAAAACAAATATAGTTTTTGCACTTATACTACCAAGATACTATTATATACCACCCCATCCACTGCTGCTTGTATTTGAAGATTGTTTATATAAACAAGGGTGGCATTGTTATTCTGTTCTTTTATTTTTTATATAGATGAATAGCCATTGTACCAGGATAATATTGATTATCAGGGTTACTTATTATTTGGCCGGCTACGCGGTAGTGCCGAAGACAATGGATGTCCTATCTACCTTCATAGAACCGCCACTCCTATTACTCTGCTACTGTAGACGTATGTCTAAATTAGAAAAATAAAGTTAAAGTCGACCTTGCTTCAACCCATGCCTCATTAAGCTTTTCTTGATTGCAAATCAGATTTTACTAAAGTTGTGACATAGCTAAGGATTTTTTTGTGTTTTTTGGCCGCCGTAATTATTATAGTTGTAAACTTCTCCGTTGGTCATTCAGAATTTCTAGGTTTTCTAGAGCACTTTAAAATTGAAAAATATTCAGTTATGTAGGTATAATCCCCATTAAAAAAAAACACCTTTTTCCACTAGTAATGGATACTCCGAAATTCAATTGTTCTAGTACAATGGACAGGGAGTCGGCGCCATTAATGGACATACCTCAGACCTTTATTTAACTTTGAAGATAAGATAACATAAATGTTCAACTTACTATTAGCAAAACTGTTAGTAGGAAGGTATGAAACAAACTGATCTCAAGAACACTATAGTTACAACGATGATTGGCATTTTAAAATTTTCTTTTCGGAACTTTGTGCATACACTTGTAAATAGAAGGCATTGTTCTTCAATCTAGAAAAAAATGGAACCTTTAAATCAACAAGGAAGCTTATTATTTACATTTAAAGTCCAACCTGTCCATGACTGGACTCTCTGTCCGTAACTGGTGCGTTCACCCTAATTGGCCCAAAATTATTATTTATATTGATGAACAAAATGCTAATTTTTTCTGAAAGAGCTTATACATAGGGAACATGCATGCAGAGAGAATAAGAAAAACTTTATTTCCAATAAATGCAGACAAAATACATTGGATTGTTATAAAAAATATTATCAAAATATGAATTGCATACTTATGAGTATATGTTATACATAATATAAATATTATATATATATATATATATATATATATATATATATATATATATATATATATATATATATACCCTATATATATATATAGGGTGCCCCGTAAGTAGAGGGAGGGAAATTTTTAGAAGCATGATATAGCACATCAAGAGCTACAAAATTCATGTCAACAATGGCCCAATTTCCAGTAGAAAAGTAGGAAATTTAAATTGTATTATTTTGGTCTAGTCCCGTTTCTTTGCTGAATAGGAAGCATTAACTAAAACAATACAATATAAATTTAAAATAATAATGAAATTGTATAATATGAGTAAAAATAATAACTTGTTAAAAACGAGTTCAATAGCAGAGATATTTTTTTTGCCGTTTTTCATAGATAGAATTTATTTATTTGTCGTATTCCCAATATTATTATTCAAAAAATGTACTCGTAATTCCGGATATCCTTGTTCATAGTAATACACTTTCTCAAAAGTATAGTTTCACTCAAAGATATATCTAACATATAGATACTAATTCCATTAGTATTGTCTGCTCTGGGTATTAATGACACCAATCCGCATCGAATGCAATACTAATAAAGTATTTCTAAAGGCTTCGATTCAGTTATGTAATTAAATATCCCAATAGCCGAGATCACTTTGCTTTAGAATTTTCCAAAAGCTATTATTTTTCTCTCTTTATGATTTTTTTTTCACTAGTTTTGTCAATTTTTTTAGCAACCTAGTGATGATTTACAAAAATTGTTACAAATTACAAAAATTGACGGAATCTGGAAATTTTGTAATTAATGCATAACATAATCCAAAAGTAGTATTCCTGGCATAAATCACTACAGTCATATTAAGAAATTAATGAGAAACCGAAACTGAATGAAATAGTGAAAACAACTCCCCGGTATGTTGTAAAGCTGAAATGATATAGGATTATATTATTAATTTACATTAAAAAAAGTATATAATGAAAGTCTTGTGTGATGCGATTATATTAGAATTGGATTCATAAACCTGGAAGCATTGTGTTTTAGGATTCATTGTGCTATATTCCTTCAAATGAATAATGACTCAACACTTTGCATTTTTTAACATTGTTTGCCAAATATGGAATGTTACTTTCTGTCTTTCTTCTTGAATATTAATGATAAAAGAAAGCGTTATGTTTTTATTCATTTTAACTTTCATAAGAGCATAAATAACACAGCACGTGAGTTTATATTGTGATCGTGCTCTTAGAGTCTTTCGTATTTATTGAAGTTCATTCATATATTAAAAAAGAATTCGTTATTGTGATTTATTAAATTATTATTTCTAGTTACAAAATATCCTTAGTGACAAAACGTCCTTAAAATAACTATAGCTCTTTGGGATTGGTGACCATATTTTTTGTTGTTTTAAAAAAAAACTTGCTAATTGTGTAACAAGTTACTTTTATGTTTTCTTTCCAGGAGAACCTATGATCATCTACAGCCTTAATAGTTTAATTGTATCCTTTAGTTGCAGATTCACTGTTGCATAAAACAGAAAGTCCTGTCTTCAGTCAAAACAAAAATTACAGAAATCCAGTTAAACAAATACATTTTGCGTCAAAACTTTGATAGTTCGAAAGATTTTGAATAAATGAGCCTTTTAGTTGAAAGGAAATCGGCTTGTAAAGTTTATGTTATTCTTTAGCAAAAGTATTAAAACATATTAGTAGAATTAACGTAATATATTAGTAATATTAACGTAATATTCTTAATCATTCATTCAATCCTGAAGTGTTCTACAATCAATGTTGAAAATACAAAGACACTAATTTTATTTATTTAGCAATTTCGTCAATTGAAAACTCAAACCAATTTTCTGATTTTTTAAAGGATAAATTCGTAATATTACGCTGGTTATGAAGGTACATTACAAAATAACTTCATATTCTTCAACTTCACTCGATTCTCTAGTTCTGAAAATATCATATTTTAATCAATAGGTGAAGGATTTTCAGATCTCATATTCGTTTTTTTTTAGTTTTATTTTCTTAAAAATAATATACTTTTTCACTGTATTGGCAGTCGTTTAAGGATTGGAGTTGCAGTTTGTGTTCGCTTTAGAACAATAGCTTATCCAGGAATTAATTCTGGGAGGTGCCATCAGCCCGAAAGCCTTTTTTTTTTTTCTATATGTATGACGATAATTACTTTGAAAGAAAGATAAAGAAACTAACTACCAACAAGAAATGGTGTTTAGGTGATTCTTGAAGTCCTGTTAAATGTAGTTAACGAACAATAATACTTTTTAGAGATAATTTTTTTTTTGTGAGACATGGATATATTTCACCATTTTGGGGGAGCATCAGCCAGAAAGTGTACCCCCCTCCGTCCCCTTAGATTCACGTGTGTTTTAGAACACATAGAAACGATTCTGGTGGTTTCGGAGATTTCATATATATAATTTGTGTATAAAAAATGTTGTTCTAATTTTCCCTTTTCTTAGCATTAAATTAGATGAAATTTGGCATGTAATAATTATATACTAATATAAAAGAAATCATGTAGATCGGAGATATGTAGGTTCGAAATTTATTTTTTAACTGGTGATTCGAAATGGAACGACCCGTATAGAATGTGGTACACTAAATCTTGCCTCAACAACAGAAGATCCACAAGAATAAAGAAGGAACGGTTCATGATGGAAAACTGTAACTAATCGTTTTGATTCATTTCCAAAAGAAGACTACTAAAAAAGGGACAGCGGGTTGTGTTATTTTTAACTTATATCTGAGGGCCTATAGTTATAATTTTTTTCTAGTCCTGGAGAATATTATTTTAAATTATTATCTTGCTAAGGATACGTAACGAAAATCCCTCGATAGCCGCTACAAGCTTTTCCTCTTTCAAATGCTAAAGGCAACCTCTCACGTAACCAGTAGGGACAATAGCTGGGCACGATCTCGGGCTTACCAAAGAGGTAGGAGGGACCTTATTGCTCCAGGTGAAAGTCCTGCACCAAAAGGGTTTCATCCTACTTCTTTTTTTCCGGAGTAAAACATTTTTTCCTTGCTATGTTTTATCCTTTGTTTGGTCTTGTATTCATTACTTTTTTTAACATACGTTACATTAAACATTTTATTGTTTTCTTGGCTTTATATAGTCCAGTGTCC